TAAGACACCCAAGTCTGGTAAAAACATTATAACAGTCTTTGTTCATGATCTGTTCATAACTTTTCCGAACCATCTAACCTTGGTGAATGAAGTCAAACAAGAGTAGCTCCCATAAATGTATTTCAGATTATAGACAAAAATCCAGTTCGCCACTTTTTGGGACTTGAAATCTGATGAGGATTTGAAGTCAGTAACATAGCATTGACTGACTAGGACAAAAGGAGCATCTAAAAAACACTTTAAAGCAGTTTGGAATGTATAACAAAAATGTGAACGGATCGATCTTTCTTCAAAGCTGTCTTACCGACAAGCTTTTTTCTTTGAAAATGGATCGATCTGTTTGTGTTTGAAAATATCTTAAAAAAATCAGCAATTTAGCTTGCAATATCATTTGTGGTCAATTCTTTAAAGACGTCGTCATTATATGTTTTGTACAGTGCATTGTTCCGCTCCCACAATTCGCTCTCTCGCTCTTCTTTCTTTCCTTACAGTAAAACCGTGCACAATTTTTGTTCATGACTGTAGTTGCTCCCGCATTCAGTATCGAATTTAATGCACATTTACTTCAGTGGATGTGGTTTATTTCTAAAATAGTTTTAATGAATTTACAATGAAATAAAATGATATAAAGAGAGCCTCAAGTACTTAACGCTGTTTGCCTTTCCCAGTAGTCTATTAACAAATGAACTGATTTAAAAACGAACGACTCAAATACAGCGGGCGAATTCGCCGCAGTACAAAACGAACAGACGAATAAGGGGAAAGACACATAGCAGCAAGTTTACAATGTGGCCAGATTGGTTCAAAAAGTTTTCATAACTCAAATATAAGGTGGCGTTCAGGGAGAATGACTTTTTATTCTATTAAAATTAAAAATTGAGTTTTTAATGTTTTTCTTTTTACAAAACAATTTTATATAAAATCATAAAACATAATGTACTCAGTCTTGAAGACAGGCTCCAGGACTTTGCTTTTGAGGAAACTAACTAACTAGGAAATGATGTTTTGTAGCTACGTGATTTAAGGCCAACTATCAAGTCAAATGCATTAGTAAGAAGCTTGAAAGCGAAGGAGCGATTACCAATCTGTAATGGGCTCTCTGATCTACACACATAGCTTTATTTTCACTACCAGATATTCTATATTTATTAAGCAAGATGTTACAGTGAAAGCAAGTCCGCATAAGGAACACATGACAGCAGTCGGATATGAGAAAGAAATGCGTCAAAACTAGTGATCCCATGAAAGGTTATAAGGATGTGTATTGGGCTGGAGTTTCGCAAGACAGAAAGTCTTTTACAAGTTACATTTTCTGGCTTAACCGGCGTAGGCTTTGAAGCTGAATATATGACACTTTCATCAACGGCAAATGAAGTCATATATTATAATTACAAACAATTTTTAATGAATTAAACCTTTGCACTATGAATATTGTATCGATGTATTGTAATCTATATATTTGATGCTGATTATATGAGAGAATGTGATGAAAATAATTAATTGATATAAAATATTGTCCAACAAAAGAATACATCGCTGCGTATTCATCAAAAATTTATGTAAAGTAAATTATAAAAATTTTGCAAATTTGCTTGGCTTTACACTGACTTGATTTAATCTATATATAAAAAGACTGAATTATATCGCTGAATTCTGTTGAAACATTTGGAAATTTTGTGGTTAAAGCAGTTACCAATATATATTTTATGTCATTTTCTCCCAAAACGAAAAGCTGTGGTAAATGTTAAGTCCTTTACAGATAATGTTAAATCGTTTACAGATAATGTTAAGTCCTTAACAGAAAATGTAAAATCGTTTACAGATAATGTTAATCGTTAAAATTAAAGTGTGCTGTTATGAGCATTCATCTATTTTAAACTAATATATTTTATTTTCGTATTCATTGTTATTTAATAAGCAAGAAGAATTAAAAAAGTTAAAAAATGTAACAAAATACTTATAATAAAATATAATAAAAGTAAAATGAGACTATAACATATTGGGTCCCTCGATAGGAATTTCAACTTGTGACAGAAGCAAAAAAAAAAAAAAAACTAAAAATACATTGATAGGCGCGCGCTAATAACAAAGCCACATCATTACATAAAAATAAATTTTGTATGTGATATTTTTTTATTTTTTATGTTCATTCCATTAAAAATGTTTTATTAATATTAAAAATATTAATTAAAATAAATAAAAATATTAAAATAATTGTTATTTATTATATTTAGATCGCTGACAAAAGTATTGAAAAAATTTCAGATAATGTTGAATGGAAATATTTACTTGTGTGTATGACCATATTTATTTCGACATATCAACTATGAAGGAGCAAGTGCAATTTTAATTTCAGTCATTCACTGCGAAAACTTTAGAATTTCTTATTAAAATATATATTTTTGCAACTTATTTAATAATATTGGATTTTTTGTTAACTCTACGTGCTCTGCTTTACTTGAATTTATACTTTATGTTTATGATCTGATGTGAATAAATTAACACTCTCATTTAATCTCTCAACTGATGAAGTTTATTTAATTATTTTTTTTCTTAAAAAACTCATGGAACTTGCATTTCAAAATACACTTAAATTTAAGACCACATTTTTAAAATTTTTGGAGAATAAAAACAGAAATTAATTATTCTTGCCTGCAAACCTGTCATTTTTGAACGTCCTTTTTTCATCAAAAGAAATTCGTTTTCAGAAAGTTGTTTCTGTTGAATTCAAAAACAATTAAATTGAACATAATTCGAGAAAATTAAATTGAAAATAATTTCTTAATTTTATGCACTTATGTATGTACTTATGTCACTGTTTAGGATTTATTGTGTGCGACCGAAAGAAATTCAAAGTGAAGAATAAATCATTTGTTTGAAAGAATAAAAACAACAAAATAAAAATAATTTTTTATATATATTTGAAAACTGATTCATTTTAAATATGCATTTCTTATTTCTTAAGCCGAATTTTTAATCAATATTATATTTGCTTTAAATATGCTAAATATTTCAGAAGATTTTTCCACTTTTTTTTCGAAAATTTCAAGTTTTTTTAAAATATTATTTATAAATTATTTATAAACTCATAAAAGATGAATGCGCATATATGTATTTGTTAACAAAGTTTGAACTTTACACTACACGTGATTCAAAATTTTTGTTTTATACTTGAAAAGAGCTAGAAAAGTCTAGTTATTTCTTTCTTAATAATAAAAAATTTAAAAAACAAAATCCAAAATAAACTAATTCCACCTAATACTCTCAAAGAAAAATTCCACCAATTTATTTGACAAATCATAAATGTATTTATAAACATAATTATGATGGCTCACAATAAGATACGCGTAAACATAAACATACATATACACAAGTGTTGAAGGTGGACAAATCTGCGTGATGTGTCTATTTTTATAAAAGAAAAAGAATAATAATTTTCGCTTCTCTCAAACAAAAGTGTTTTCATAAGAAAACAAAAATAAAAATAAATTCAACGCGTTAGTATGTTTGGGTGGAAAAATAGAAATTTCTTGATTCAAAGAATTCCTTTGATACCAGGATTTCACACTTCATGCATCAACAAGGTTATATGGGAAAAATTTGTACCAGAGAGTAACGAGTAGAAGTGCTAGAAAGCATTAAAATACATAGTCTAAGAATATGCATGAATATATTATGAATTAAATTTTTAATTAAAATATGTATACCATTTAAATGGCATTAGTATGTCTCTTATACCGAGTTCACATTGGGCAGGGTTAGTGGGAACAATACACTGATGGGACGTGCTCGAGAAATTCGTCTTGTGGGATTTATGTATATACATATATTTATAACTTAATACAGTAAATAATAATTTATATTTAATAAGTTTATACATCACTAAGGAGTAAGTAATCGTCGCAGGTATTGCTCAAAATAATATTCTTTTGTGCGGATGAGGCTGTAATATTGTATTAAGCCGGCACAAATATCTCTTTATCGCCAAAAAAAGTGTTAAAACTACACCTTAAACTAATTGAAGAATATCTAGCGAACAAGTGGTGCATACAATTTATTGTAAATAGATGTCAACACATAACTTTTTCATTAAAGGCAAAAACCTGCTCTTGTACCGTGCCCACAAGTTAACGAAATCTCTTATCTTGGCATTCATTTGGACGGACGCCTACCATGCAGGTGACACATTTTTGCCATTTTTTATTAGCTTTAAAACAAGAAATCTGGTCTCTCCCTAGAAAATAAGGTACTTCTTTCCAATGCGACTACCAAACCGATAATCCAGTTAAGAGGCACAGTTTTGGAGCGCATCAGATTCAGTAAATCAATAAAAATATTAGTAAAAAATTCAGTTCAACCATGTAAAACCTTCTCGGAAACTCTTTATGTCGACTCATCAGATGCTTCCACCATCGTCCATGCCTCCGCACCATAGAGCATAACTCAGTTCAAAGTACCACCTTTTAGCAATAGTGATTCTCTGTTGGATTTAACGGCTGATATTGTTTTTGGTGCTAATGCTGGGCCCTAGATAGATAAAATTATCTACGTCGTCAAAGATATGACTGTCAACTTGTTCGATAGCTTCGTTCGACAAGGAAGTTATAATTTTTGCGGGGTCACCTAATTCAGGCATAGCGACGTTGAGGCAGCTCATGACTGTGCTGTCGAAGGTAGCTTTAAAATCGAATGAACCTGTGATGTGATCGATAATTTCCAAACCTGACTTTTTTAAGATAAGGTCTAATCAGTTTGTTGTTAGGCTTTAGTCTTTCGCACAAAGCGTTCGGTACAATCTTATTTATACCGTTAAAAGGAAAACAAGTTCAAACTTACCATATCTGATTGCCTAACAACCTAAAGTATATTTTCGGTGTTCTGGGCAAAAAAGAAATTTGGAAAATGAAATTACGAAAATAAACATATACAACAGTATTTCATTAATTTTTTTATAAAAATTTTATTTATTTTTTTAATTTCATTTATAAATAATTTCCTAAAATAAATAAAGTTAAAATTATTTTTCACATTTGTTTCTAACCACTTTTTATATTTAAGTCACTTCAATTAAAATTACGCACACACGAGTGCCTCTAGTAAGTGGGTTCCCAGTAAACGCTGGGCTTCACTTTAGTCAATGTGCCTTGGTTGCTTATATAAATGGCACCGTTGTCCATTAACTCGATCGCTTGCGCTAGGTGAGCGCCGCAAACTTCAGGTTTTTGGGTCTTAGAGGAGTTTAGTTTCTCACCAATCTCCTTGGAATAGTCAAAAGTGTATTTGCTGCCAATGTTGTTCTTCAATGGCGTATCAGTCAAACCAGGACAGAATGTGACCACAGCAACGCCGGTGTGCTCATAGTAGAAGGGATCCTGCGAGAGTTTATTATCGAAAATAATTTATAAATCTTCTATTTAGAGCAGCTAAAGTAGCATTTTGGATTTAATAAGTTCAATTAATCTAACGACTCACCCCAAGCGAGCGCGAGAAACCCACTACGCCGAATTTCGATGCGCAGTACACAGCTGCTGGTGGGCATGGTTCCAAACCCAACACGGAGGCAATGTTAACAATCACACCACCACGTCCGTGCTTATTCTTGTCCATAAGTGGCAGCGCTTCGAGTGTTGTGTTGATGAGACCGATCAAGTTGATGTTCATCGTTAACTCCACATTGGGATCGGTGAGGATGCCGGCACCGTTGATGAGTGCGTCAATATGTTGTACTTTGGAAATGACATCGGCCAGTGACTGTTTTATGCTCTCTTTGTTGGTGATGTCGAATTTGGTGTAGTAAACTTTGGTTTTTGGGTTGATTTCCTGCAAAGCTTTTATAGCCTCAGGCTTGTCCAAAACGTCGAACACGAACAACGACTGAAGAAGAGAAGAGATTGTTTTTTGTAATTGATAGAAATAAAAATAGAAATAAATGCAATATTATTAGAGGGTAATAATTTTGCAATACAACAATTTTAGGGGATAGCTTTTCTTTCAAAAAAAAAATTTATTTTATAAAAAGTGTATTTTTTTTAAATTCTTTACAACATATTTTCGTAAACATATAATTTGTTTTGATTATTGTTAATTTTTTCCGGATAATATCCCGATTCTGGTTTGATATTTATCAGATATTATTTTTTAAACCTGTAAGCTAATTTATTTTTAAAATTATTACGAAGGGTTATCCATCTTGAAGATTCGAAAATAAACGTAAATAAAGGTCAATTTTAATTATTTCCTTCGATTTATTTGCGAAACTCGTGAATTTTCGCAACCCTCTTGCATTGGAGATAGTTTTTGACCAATTTTCGTCACAACTTGACTAACTCCGGTTTTCAAATCTGCAAGAGTTTAAGGTTTATCCACATAAGAACGGCCTTTCGCTTAGCTCAACAATAAAAGTTCAAAGGTGTCAAATCGCAAGACGAGAAATTGCACTGCCTGGAAATTTGTCCCCCCCATCAAGTCATATTCACCCTTATTGTGTGGCATGTGGCATCATCTTGCTGAGAGAAAAAAAGTCGGTTATCAAGTGACCTTAACACTCCGAATTGACAGCGGCAGTCTCGAAAGAAGTAAGGTCTAATCACCAGACAAACATTTTTTTGGGTGTAATTTATTTATTTGAGGATTCTCGGAGCCACAAATAAGAAAATGTTTCTTATTTACGTGTCCCCCTCGTCGCTATAGGCAATTTTGTTTGGAATATTTAAACCCAATTATTGTATAGTAAGTCCTTATAGCCTTAATGCGCTTAAACGCTTGACTTTTAATTAAAAGAAATCATATTTGGAATGATAATTAAGTTTGATAATTTTCAAAATTCAGCCCAGTACATTGGAAATCACATAATTTTGATATGTAAATTCATTCTAAACTAAATTAAGTATATTTTCAATTGTATTATTAATGTATTGTGTATTGCTATATATGAAGTTTTAAAATCAAAAAATCCAATATTTTTCAAATATTAGTTTGTTTGCGGTATTTCTACAATAAATCATTAAATTACGGCATTTATAAGTTCCTATAATTTTTCTATCTTTTTTTTGACATTTTTTTTTCGACATTTTTTTATTAAAAAGTTTGAAAACTAAGACCCCTTTATTGAGAATTGAATTTAAAATATTTTGAAAAAACAGTATTTGTATAAAGCAGGCGTTGATTTGTTTTGCGTTTAATTTTTTTTGTTAATTTTGAATAAGAAAATTTACTCATTTATTTGTTTTAATTTTATATTTTCATTCATGCTCCAGTTTCTGAAGAAGAATTGAAATTCAACTTTTTTTTAAATAAATCATTTGATATATTTTTCTTGGTTTATATTGGATGAGTGCATAAGTTCGTGCCCGATTTCGCTGGATGCCGTTCGAATCGTTTGAGAGTGGCGCTCGTGAAAGAAATATATATACCGTATAAATCAAGCTTAAAATAACTTCATTTTGATTTGAGTTGCTTAGTGAAAAGACGCATGGAAGATGGACAACGAAAAAGATCATATGCGTCATATTATGTTACAAATACGAATTCCGCAAAGGAAAAACAGTAGGCGCTTCATCTAAAGATATTCGCGAAGTTTATTTCGACCGTGCTCCAGCACTCCGCACAGTAAAGAAATGGTTCGCGAAATTTCGTTCTGGAGATTTTAACCTCGAAGATCAACCTCGCAGTGGACGGCCTTCTGAGCTTGTTGACGATGTTCTAAGGACTTTAGTTGCGAATAACTCACGTATTTCGACGGAAGAGGTTGCCAGTGAATTGAACAACAACAAATCAACTGCGTTTCGTCTTTCAACGAGAAACCGCACGATTTCTATGAACCATGCATCCGTAAATTGGTTGAACGTTGGGAGTGAATTGCTGAACATGATGGCGAATACATAATTGATTAATAAAAGCGCTTTCTTCAAAAAATTTCAATTTTAGTTTGCACTTGAAATCGGGCACGAACTTATGCACTCATCCAATATTTTCTTTAATGGTGAATTCGCTTTGACCTCTATATTTTTTTAAATTCATCTCTTTTTATTCTTATTATTATTTTATTATATTTTTTTGTTTTTTTTTTTGTTTTTTATTTTTTAAATATAATTTTAAAGTTATTCTTTAGCTATTTTTATGAAATTACACTAGTTTTAGTTAGCTTTTTTTAACACATATTTATTTACTCGTTCATAACGCATTTACATCAACTAAATTTTGAAAAATTTAAAGCGATTTCTATTTATTTATGCACTTTTGCTATATTTTATAAAGTTTTCTTTTTATCAAATTTCTGTTAATGTTTTTAAAGTCATATTCTCTTCATCTTACCGCCAAGTCATTGTTCATCAAATACTTGCAGGCTTCATAAGCAATGAAGCCCAAGCCACCAACGAAAACAACATTTTTACCGGCCAAACTCATATTTTATGCACTAATTTTTCGATTTGAACACTCACAGAGAAAAACTGAACTGCAACCGGCGACTGTGATTTGTTTCAGAAATTTGGCTGCTTTTTATACCCGCGGGGGGGGCTCGCTTTGCCGCCGCGAAGATTCTGATGCGCATGCCTCTATTCTTCTTTGGATCAGACCAATGGAGGCGGGTGCCAATTTAACGATACATTTATGACCGAAGATTATTGTATAGAAGATATAAATAAAAATAGAAAATCAAAATAAAAATCAAAACCAAATACTTTTCTTCCAACAATGTAGCAAATATAAATAAAATGCTTAAATCTATATTTATATGGATTATGTACTTGTGCATATTGAAATGTGGCGTCGAGTCACTTTTCCTGTTTGTACAATATACATGTTTATTGAATGCTTCACAAACGAGTGACAGCTGTTTACTATTTTATGAATTCACTAAAGCTCAACGAATTTTCATTTTTTCAAATCAACACTTTTTTTCTAGAAATGACTTGCTAATCGTTTTCGGATTTGCCGCTATGCCAATTTTGTTTGATTTACTTTTTTCTCGCCATTATTGCAATTTTCCAATTATTAATGTTAATCACTTTGGTATGACATTGTTGTGTCATCTCTCATTGAGTTTGTGTTAATATGAGCTTTTTGGCGCTCGTGTTTATGAGAAGCACAAAAAAAGAAAAAATGAATCATTAATGTAGTGTTCTCTCGCGCCAGAGAACTCTTATCAATAAAAAATAGGTATATATTTTTATAACACTAAGAGCCAAAAATTATACTTCCAATAACAAATACATATATGAACATATAAAATGTTTTCAATGAGAGCAAATTATATTTAGGCATTGTCGATGTGCGGCTCGACAACGTTGCCAATTTTCATTCACTACCTGTATTTTTGGAGTAAAGGAAATTACCAGGATTTGAAGTGAATTCTAAAGTTCAATTTTTATTCAATGAGTATACAATTCAATACATTTTAAAACAATATAAGGTATATTCTGAAAAAATAGCTAATATAAATACTTCCACAAAAATAAATTGCCACAATATATCCGGGCAGAGATTACCGACGAGCCTATTTATGGTCTGTATCTTGATGTTTTTCCAATAACTACAAAAGAGCAACAGCAATAAAAACTAAAATTCTTTAAATTCAGAAACTACTATATAACTAAAAAATTGTCTTTTTCAAAAGTTGTTTTCAAGTTTCTTGTCTTTACTAGAAAAGAGCAAATAAGTAGAAAACAGTGCCAGATTTCACTATGGTGTACTAGGTTTGAGAAATTGAGATAGTCTTAAGTCTATTGAAAGCAAATATCAATTTGTTTCCAGAAACTTATCATGCCCAAAAATTCAAACAAGAACCTTTGGAACTTAATCTCGTTTGTTTTCAAAAGCTATATTTTGGCTTAATTGTTTTTAAAGGCGTTTTTTAATGATTTTTGTTGTCTCCATTAAACCAGTATCTTGTTATTTTATGGGTCAAACCATGAAAGAAATTGATTGTTGTACAAAAAATAAAAAGCGGTTTTCCCTTTTGAAAACCTAGCACACTTCAAAGCCAATAGGAAACTAAATGAGGAATTCAAAAATATAAGTTTCGAAATGTGTTTGTTTGAAGAATCTTGTAAGCACATAAAGCTTTCATATTTATTCCTATCTATATATAGAAGCTTTTATTATCGCCTGTCCTACATTTAATCCAGAATTAAGAGTTTTCATATCAAAACCTTTAGATAAAAAATTAATTCTGATTGATCAACCATTAGTTTTTTTTTTTTGTAAAATGGTAGTAAGTAGAAATTTTAAACTTGTGGTATCGAAGTATTTCATTGGCGCCAACAGGCTCTGAAATGAAGAGCCCGATGCCTTACTGGAGCCGATTCACTAAATCTAACTTCCTTTGGCTTTTAACCCGAAAGCAATAGGAGGTGGACAACGCCGACCTGCCACTACTAGCAATTTATTCACTTTGCATCAAGTATTTCCCAAAATAAAACTTTGTTATTTTGTAATCCATTTAAGCCTAGAAGCAATACACTTAACATGCTTGGATAAAAATAGAAATTTTATAGAGAGATGAAATCAAAGCTCCCTATGCATCATCAAACCGCACACCACAAAAAAGAGGCTCGACAACATTTAACAATATATATTTAAATTTAATATGTACTGCAATCATATTGAATAACATTTTGTTATTGTGATGTGGAGAAATATTAGTAATATTAAGTTTGAAAGACTCGCATGACTGCCCATTTTAATGCTTAAAAATATTTTTAAATACAAACTTACATGTATTGTTCATTGAAAAACAATTTATACTCAAATTTGAATGACAAGCATTAAATATATATGTATGTACATACAGTGGAATTTAATTGCTTATCAATTAGTTGTTTGTATTTTTTTCTGCTTAAAAGAGTATTAAGCTCATTACATTTGCATATTTCTTATCAGTTCATAATATTATACTTGCTGACCAGCAGTATTTTGACCCTTCTCACAGTTATGTTTCCAAAAAGTGCAATTCTATTTACATCGAGTCTTTGAGAAGGTTTTCGAATTTTCTTTTTTTAATAATATATACTTGTACAGTATTTGCATATTTAGAAGAATAAATGTGCCATAATATAAAGTTATAAAACTGTCTTACCATCTAGATCTTCCTTTTCGAATCTATTCTCAAACCTTAATAAAGAACCCATTGAAGAATAAAATGGGAAAACTAAACCTATATGAACAAAAATGATTTGAAGTGCAGTGCTGGTCTTCCCTTAACAACACACGAAAATTCATAGAAAGTATGCAGCCCACGTAAAACCTTTCAAGCAACTGCGCTTTGTGTGATTTCTGTTTGCTTTTACCGCATACGTGTACATACATATGTACAAGTACACCCCCAAACCCCATTTATTACTTATTAAATACAACATCAAAATCAAGATAATTGCTAAATTGCAACGAGTGCACTGAACAGTTGCCATACTTGGCATTCATTCATTTACATAATCGCATTGTGGTTGTTATTGTTTCTCTTATTCCATTATGGTTTGCATTTACACACATATTCACATGCGTACATACAATTGCAAGTATAAGTACATGACAGCTGTTATTATTTAATTTAGCGCCAATTACTGGTCCAACTAAAGCAACGGGTTCTACACGATTGCTGTTATCTGCCTGCATCGTTTTGACATAAAAATTAGTAAAATTGAACTAGAAAATACTTAACGAAAATATATACAGTATGTAGTGATAAACATGTGGCCAATATTTGTTTTAAAGCTGTGATTATATACAAATTTGTCATCAGCAAGAATTAAATGTACAATTCATTACTAAAAAATCATAAGGAAACTATCAGCTACAGCTGTTTAAGCTAGAAATAATAAAAAAAAAATAAAATAAATAATATAAAAAAAAAAACAAATAAACTAACATACAACGAAACAAAATCAAATATATAAAAAAAAATAAAATAAAATAAAATAAAATAAAATAAAATAAAATAAAATAAAATAAAATAAAATAAAATAAAATAAAATAAAATAAAATAAAATAAAATAAAATGAACAAAATAAAATGAAAAAAAATAATATAAAACAAAATAAAAATTAATAAAATTAAATATTATTGAATGAAATAAGCTAAAATTATTTAGTTTAAACTAAGATAAAATATATTAAGCTAAACAATAAAATAAAATGAAATAAAACAAAGTAAACTAAAATCAAATAAAATTGAAAAAAGGTAACACAAAAAAAATTAATAAAATTAGGATACATAAAGTAAAATTGAATAATAAAAAAAATAATATAAAATGAAATTCAAAGAAATACATAAAATACAATAAATAAAATACGATAAAAAAATAAAATAAAATAAGATAAAATAAAATAAAGTAAAGTACAGTAAAATAAATATTATTTTAATAAAAAAATAAATTTGATAAAATAATGAAGTTCAATTGAATACAATAAAATAAAACAAACTAAGATAATAAAAATAAAATAAATTAAAAAAAATTTATACAATTAAATAAAATAAAATAATTTAAGATTGAAAAAAAATAGATGAAATAAATAAAATACGATAAAATATTTAAAAAAATTAAATAAGAAAATCAAAAAGAATTAAATAAAGTAAATATGAAATAAAATAAAACAAATTTAAAAATATTAATTAAAATAAAATTAGAAATATAAAATAAAATTAATTAATGTAAAATAAAATGAAGTTTTGAATTTTTTAATGATTTTAATACAAAAATTATTTATTGCAACATATGTATTATATAATTTAGTAAGCATTTTGCGTTAATAGACTTTTGATATATTATATAAGCTGCAGACCTTTTTTAAGAATATCAAGATCCACACCAGTTTTGAAAAGCTCCAAATAAGGTGTTGCGATTTGAGAACTTAGACGTGCATATATGTATATTTTATCAACTCATTAAACACTGCTGTATATTTAGTACTAATTAGAGTGAAATCTATGTATGTATTTTAATTTTGCCCTCGTGAACCACAAATTGTAACCGGTGTGTCTTATCGCCTGAAATTGTTTCAAAAATGTATGCATTCGTAAACAATGTGAATTGATTGTACACATTGTTGTCAACCTGTCGTGATCCCAAATTAAAAAAAAGGAATAAGCTACATACATACATACGTACATATATACGCCGATAAGACCACCTGTCGACCGGTTGGCTGTTTGATTAATACATACATACGAGTACTTATTCTCGAAAAAAAACATAAAATGCGAGCATATGTATTTGCATATATTTCAGTAAAGCGATAAGAATAAACTAATTTCAAAATTAATTTCGAATGACTTAGAAAAGTTATTAATTATGTTTTCTATATTTATTTACCAAATGCATCAGTAACTCTTACGCACGACTTTAAAATATTCCAGCGAGCCACGCTTATCACATTTAAAAGTTTAATTTTCTTATCATTATCGGCATGACTAAGTTGTATTGAAAAGCATAAATAAATATTTCCTCTCTCACAGCAGCGCAGAAAGGAGAGTGTTCATTCTTTCTAACACACATATGTGTGTGTCATAGTTCGATTTGTCTGTCTTTTTGCGCTTATCGTCGCCAGTTGTCATATATTTGAAATGCTTGCTTAGTCTTCCACCTCAGCTCGCTGGGTCTAATCTAAGCTGACAACATTATCATGGGATGATTCGACTAGAATCGTATTTTATATTCATATCATCGGAGAATATTCAATATACTTACGTACAAACACGCAATTAATAATATGCAATTTTAATATGAAAGCTGTTCGGGCTTCAGGCTATAAAAGCGCAACTTTGTTTGAGGAAAGGCATCAGTTGCAAAGTGTCTCAGCAGAAAAACACATTAGCGAAGCAAAGTAAATATATATAGAGACTGAGTGACAAAATGGGTTTGAGTGGTAAAAACGTAATTTTCGTCGGCGGTTTGGGCTTCATTGGCTACGAAGCCTGCAAACAGCTGATGGCGAAGAATATGGCGGTAAGTGTGAAGGAAAAATGGCCATAAATAAAAGTAGCTGATTTAAAAATCCAACCAAAAGTCATAAGCAATAGTAAACAAAAGCTATTTAAAGCATTGGAAAATATAACAACAGTTCTTTTTAAAAAAAAATTTTATCATTTATTCATTTTCCTTTCTTAGTCCTTCTTTGTCTTCGACGTTCTGGACAAACCGGAAAACATCAAGGCTTTGCAAGCCCTCAACCCAAAGACCAAAGTGTACTACACCAAATTCGACATCACCTCTAAGCAATCAATCAAGAGCGCGCTCGCCGATGTTGTCGCCAAGGTCAAGTACATTGATGCTTTGATTAATGGCGCTGGCATCCTCACCGATCCCAATGTGGAGTTGACAATGAACATCAATTTGATTGGGCTCATCAACACAACACTCGAAGCGCTGCCACTTATGGACAAGAATAAGCAAGGTCGTGGTGGTGTAATTGTTAACATTGCCTCCGTGTTGGGTTTGGAGCCATGCCCACCAGCAGCTGTGTACTGCGCATCGAAATTCGGTGTCATGGGTTTCTCGCGTTCCATTGGTGTAAGTTAATGTGAAAATGACTACAAAATTAATTCAAATGAATAATTTTTTAACTTGTGCGCTCCCACAGGATCCCTATTATTACAACATCACTGGTGTTGCTGTGGTTACCTTCTGTCCTGGCTTGACTGAGACGCCTTTGAAGAACAACATTGGCAGTAAATACACTTTTGAGTACTCGAAGAAGATCAGCGAGGAGCTGAACAGTACCAAAACCCAGAAACCCGAAGTTTGTGGCGCCCATTTGGCTCAAGTGGTTGAGTCCCATGAGAATGGTGGCATTTACATCAGCAACCAGGGCACTTTGGCTAAGGTGACACCCACCGTCTATTGGCAGCCCACCTACCACTAGAAGTGCATGTGTCTGGGACACTCTGCAACATTGTAAATATATACAACGTGTTATGCATATATTGTACAAATTGTAGCTATTTTAATTAGCTTGTAAGTTTTAAGTCTGAGTTAAATAAATATTGATTAGTTGTGCACGTAAACGTGACTTGTAATTTTTATTTTCTCTACTATTTTTTTTTTTTATTTTATTAACTGATTCCATAATTGCATTTTAATTACTTTATTAGTTGGGTTGAGTGAAAACTGAATTAGGAATTTATGCAAAACATTTGTGTCACCAGAGTGATTGATTGGCAACTGAGGTCTTTGCACTGTATTCTAGGTTTCGATACAGTTGTGGCCGCTGAAATATATACGCCCACATATTTATTGAAACAAGCATAATTTTTCTTAGGAAACATTTGTAGCGTAGCATTTTTAATGTAAGAAGTCTTTTACTTTTTGAATGCCTTTAATTTAACCCTTATAAAGTCTTAGGGTAAAATTCAACCTATATAAATATTCTATATTTCGCTTATTTAGAAATTAAAAAGTTGTTATAAATTTTTGTATGTCACATTAACATATTTTTTAATTATAAATTTTATATATTTACACTCAGCGCCAAAAGAAAGTGTACATGTTTTTCTCACGCTTCTCGTTTTTTAGTATTTTATACGTCAAAACAAGGTGTAGAGTTTGGAAATAGTTAAGAAATTCATAAGTTAATACTTTGTCTGCCTTCCCTTTGTATTGATAACTGCTTCCACTCCTATAGTAAAATTTCTTTCAGTGTATTCTTGCTGGTTATGTTTCTTTTCCTTTTTTTACCGGTCCAAATGCTACCACAGACTCTCATTGGGGTTGAGGTCCGGTGATTATGGGGGATGAACCAGTAGTTTAGGTGTACGGTAAAGCAACCGTTTCTTTGCTGTTCTTGCCGTCTGCGTAAGATCGTTGTCCAGGACTTATCTAGGCCCGATTTGTCACCGCTACTAAGCAAATTTTCTTTTAAAATGATTTGGTAATCAATTTTGTTTTTTGTGCTATCAATAAACATTATCCACTTACCGCCATGCACCCCCAAACCATCAGGGACCCCCTACAGTGGATGTAATGTTTTTCTGTTCAAACTCTTTATATATTTTTTCTCCAAACTTTAGTATTTTTTTTCTCTTTCCAGAAAAAATTACATTATTCCAAAGTGATTTATACCGAGTTTTGTATTTTTCTCCAATCGCGGCTATTGGTTCTGCGTAGAGATGTGAGGCCTTCTCCCCGGTACCCGACCATACAGACCATTAGAATGCAATGCTCGCCTGATCGTGCTGGCACTAACATTCAGTTCGGATGTTCTGGATAATTCTTCCGATAATTTGACGGCACTCACAGTTGGATCTATCTTTGCAACTCTCACAACTGATCATACTTCAATATTATTAAGCCCTTTCGGTCTACCCGAACGTGGTCGATCTTCTATTTCACCAAACTTTTTTGCTTAACAATGATTTTTTTACTGCATTATGACTGCATTAAGAATCTCCCAATCAAGCTTTTTGAGCTTCTGGCGAGTCACTATCGATGTATGTGGTCTGGCGTTGCCCTGATGAAACACTATTTCCCACCTGTTGGCCAAAACAGAGCATTTCGAAGCGATTGCTTCCTCCATACGATCCAATTACGCTGACAGTACAAGCCCCAATTAAGTATTTTGGTCTATCAGGAGCAGCTCATAGTGGATGATTTCTTGCCAATCCGACAATACTGACTTAAGGATCGCTTGTGCTGACTCACTGCCCGGAGAAAAAGACAGTTTTCATTTGGCGTCACTCGGTCAATTGTTCGATTTCTTTAAGATTAAGCAGTGACTCGGAGATGGAAATTCTGTACGGAATTTCATCAACACTTCTTCCACTATTGCCTAGACCTCACAACCATTTTTGTAATGCTTTGCTCAATATCATCATTGCTTTTCTTACGATATTAGATCGGATGAAGTAAGCTGACACCATGACTTTTGCTGCTGATTTTTGTTGCTCAGATTTTATGGGTGGGTTTGTTCCTGTTAGGGCTATATACCATGGACAGCTGTTTGGTTACTGGATCCTACTTATAGAACCAGGATTCGTCTCCAGGCTTTACAAAAGTTGCCAGACTGACCATTTTCGAATTTGTTAAGGAAAAATTGACCAAAATGCACTCGATCCTTCTTTTGGTCCTCATTTAAAATTCGTGGTATCCATCGAGCAGATTTCTTCTTGTATCCCAGATGATTACTCAATATTCGCGATAAAGCGATGGCATTCAAGCCCAATTAATAAGCAATCCTTTTCTGTGTCAACCGTGGGTCTTCGTCAATTTTGGACTTCCCTAGAGCTGCAGTGACGTCAGTAGTGGAAGAAAAACTGAAATTTTCGGAACCACTTAGAAATAGTCTCTAAATTCGGTGCAATCGTTTCATATGCATTTTGGCCTTCACTTAATATTTTTATTGGTTGCAAATTGCGTCGAAACCCGAAGAGGATCACATGGCGAATTTCTGTTTGCGTTGGTGGTGGAATTTCGTCTGACTTATCCTCAGTTATCTTCCGTTTTCTCCTCTCCATTTTACCCGATCGTTCTAAAACTTGCACGGAAGACAAATGAAGTCATAGCAAAGGATCTGTTTTCTCAAAATTAAAAAAAAAAAAATTGAAAGTCACCAACTGATCGAACACAAAATCCATATATAAATATATGTAATCACGAACTATTTTTTAAATAGTTGTAAATATATATATATGTACATATGTTAACTATAAATTGGTTTGTATCTATTTAAAATTGTTTTCTTTATTTTTTTGGGAAATTCCTTATGATGCAGTGATAAGGAATGGCTTCTCAACTCTCTTCAATATGAGCAAACTCTGAGATATCGTCAAAAAAAAAAAAAAAAAAACCGATACCGTTAATGCCCCCTCGGGCATGGTTCTTCAGAGTACCAACTGTAAGGTTAAGGGTAATGGTGTTTTGAGAAAAATATTTAATTATCAAACTAATAATTGTTTTCCAGTGATCGTGTTGATATTATCTGACATTCGAGAGGTAAACGGCGAGTTGAAAATTGACTTTATTCACATCATTTGCTTCACGTGTAAGTATGTATGTAAGTATGAATCTCCAATATTTTAGTGTTATTAAAATTTTTTCTATGTGAAAATATACTTGCTGTAAGCACACACACACATACATACCTATTCGCCTACATGTAATTGCGACACGCACGTGCAACATGACAACGTCACGTTAATTTAACACTTTTCGCTATCAACTGCAGTTATGAAATGACACTGCGTGTTGCCGCCACTTATCATTCGCCACTTGAAACGACCTCATCACCACGCCAACAATCAAGCAGCAGCAGCAGCAGCAGCAGCAACAGCAGCAGCAGCATCACAACCCAGAATAGCAACAAAAGTAATAGCAATAAATATTACTGCTGCAGCAAATATAAAAATATTATGGAATTTTCTGTCATATTTTTGTACACCAACTTTCGCCCTACCCTCTCTGCCCATTTCTAGAAGTTTTTCTATTTCTTTGCAACATCTCTGATCTTAACCTGCCACGCATACTTAACCTGCTGACGTGTGAATGCGTTGATTTGCTGTAAGAGATTGTTTTTCGGAATTCCAAGCAGCGCATGGCTTGCAGGCTCTCTCTCATGATTACTACAGCAATAGCAGCCAACGTCTTGTCTTGCTGATAGTGTAATCGCTCAACTTAGTGTCATGCAACGTGCGGCACTTTGCTAATGTGCACGTATGTATGTATGTATCATTGTACGTTGTATGTCCATGTAGTTTTTGTCGTAATATCATCATAATATTTGTTGTGATTGATGTTGCAACGACCATAGTGTTAAGTTGCTACACAGATTTCTGCAACATTCAAACGGTTCTAATATAATATTTTTTGCATTACAACCACATTACAAGCCACAATCGATGAAAAGCAACAAGGTTCATTAGTCTCTCCACTGGATTGCTTATCTGTTGGCAAATTCTTCAGTTATTGGAAACAGGACAGCTCTAGCACATCATTTATTTGAGAAATTATCGAAATGGCCGTTGCCAACAGTGGCTATCAGAAAAACTGATGGATTCGATGCCAAGTCTAAGTCTATACTGAAATAAAACAAGAGCGTCTTTATACCTTTCATGACCATATCAAAACTTTGGTGTTTTGGGTTAAATATTAAATCTGAAACCAGAAAATAAAATCCAGGAGGTTATATCATTTTCGAAAGCAATTTATATAAACTTATGTTGAATTCCTAATTTCAAGCTCTTTGATGTATTTTTCGACAGATTTATGTGACTATCTCTTTACCTTCTGGTACTCATATACTACAGCCCTATTAATTATGGTCATTTTGTATGCATGAGTGGTATAAATATACTTATGCAAGTCAAACTATGATCCCCAAAAGTGAAACTTGTCAAGTTAGTTTGAATCTAATTTTCATAAGGAGATTGCGTAAAGCTCCTGTCCAGAATATCTGGGACAAATTTGTTACTTTTCCTGTTTAGTTTTTTGTGTGTAAATTTTTTTCGAGCTTAAATCCCAAGAGTTATTTACCGAAAGACCACACTAAGGCAGCTAGGAAAGTAATTGTCTTTAACATTGTCATGTTATTCTTCACTAGTAGGCCAGTACTGGCTTTTCCGTATGTAAGAAGACGTTAGACGCTACATAAAGATTCTCGCTTGGGCTCAAACTAGAAAATAGTCTTTTAACAAAAACCATTGGGGAGGATAAAGATTATCCCTTTATTTTGCGTAAGAGCTAAGCCAAGGACTGAACTCGAAAAGTGCGTTGAGCTAATGCTAATTTACATTGTGCTGGGAAGCATCGCAGCGAAATGCGTATAAGATTGGCCACAACAGCTAAATTCTCTGCATAAACTTTCGAGCATTGCTCAATAATAAGGGGATACAGCTGATGCCACATATTGGAACTTCCGTGAAATGGCTGTGAAAGATGGTAACAACGGTTGACAGAGCGTACGCGGAAGGAAATCAGTTTTCAAAACACCTCATATCCACTTAGGTAAAAATAAAACTCCAAGTCTTTTTCTACGACTATGGAGTGTAGGCCGATAAATGAGCCGTAAAAATGAGAGAT